GAAGCCACAATCCACAGGCAAGGAGCCCACTCCCCTGCAGCCCGCCTCCCCCTCACAGGATCCAGGAGGGAGGCAGCCATTGTTACATCCCTCTTGTAAGGAGAACAGCTTCCTTGCCTGCAAGCACCACCCAGCTCTCTGTCTCTATCTGTGCCCATCTAGACTAGGCAGGAAATTAAAGTGGGTACCAGGGCATTTGCAATAAATGGCTCAGGCACCAAGCCCTGGGACCCGCGTATGCCTGCAAAAAGGACTGTGATTCCGGGGGCCTCTTTCTTTCAAGTACAATCTCCTCTCAGGCTGTTGGGGCCACAGAAGAGCTTGGATTGTTTCCATCTCTGGATATACGAAGGGTGAGGACAGCAGGGAGGACGCAGAGAAGGTGGTGAACTAGGGGAGAGATAGGCCCAGGAGTCCGTCTCCTGGGAGAGGCAGTGGTGTGGGAGGTTATGAGCTCCCCCAGGGCCTCGGGTGGGTTGATGGACCACCCTGAGCCTCAGTTCCCTCACCTGTAAAATGGAGATGGTAAAATACCTGCCGGGCTGTGTTGTTGTGACAATTAAATAAGTTAAGATACGTAAAGTGCTCTGATCTTTATTATTTCCTTCCTTCCACTTGCCTTGCAACACCTTGATTTAGGACTTCCAGCCTCCAGAACTGGGAGGCAATCAATTTCTGTTGTTTTAAGCCATCCAATCTGCGATATTTTGTTATGGCAGACCTAGGAAACTAACACAGGACCAAAAGGAGGGATCAGGAGACAAGGGCTTCTTCCAGCCTCTGTTGTTTCTCTGCTTTTCCCTACTTCCTGGGATGAACTGTGTCACCTTCAAGACTCCCAACCCTGGCATTGCCAAGCCCCAGGCCTGACCTCTGTCCCCCACATTTAGAGCCCCTCAGTTCGCTTCAGGAGTTTGGAGAAATGTCCCTCATGTCCCTCCCCATGAGGCCAGCATCTCCTGATACGAACGGCTTCCTCTCTCCCCTTCCCAGCTGTCTATATGCAGCAGGGCTGGGTGGGTCAAAACATGTGAGGCATCTTGTTCTGCTCTTATTAAGACACTGCGTTAAGCCTGGGGTTGGGGAGGAGGCTGCACTTGGGCCTCAAGAACCGGCAGTTTTCTTGAGGCTGGGTTCTTAGTACCTCTTGCTTTCAGCTGTGGCCTCCAGCACCAATTCTCCAGGCTGCAGGAAAAGTCCCATTCACCATCCTGTTACTCCAGATTTGCAAGTTCAGCTGGGCTCTCCAGGCTGCCAAACAATCCTTGTCCATTTCTAGCTTGCAATGTCAGGCCTCCTGACATTTACCTGCTTGGTCATCTCTGCTTGTAATGACCTAATGACAGGTCCCTCCTGCAGAAATATTCCAGGGCCAGCACCTTAAAATTTCCCCTTTCCACAGTAGAGTTGAGTGGATGAATGAATGAGTGAATGAATGCAAAGCTGATACAGTCTCAGATCCAGGGAGGGAGGACAGTGTGAGATCCTGGAGTGAGGCTGTGTGACCTTGGACAAGTTACTTACCTTTTCTGTGTCTCAGTTTCCCCTGAGGTTGCTGTGGGAATTCAATAAGATAATGCCAATAACATTCTTCATGCCTGATGCTAACAAAGGTTAGCTTGTCATCCAGAGCACAAGTCTCAGTATCTTTATGCCTCACCCTGTGTCCTGTTTAGTACTAATTTTCTTAGGTCCAACCTAATCTTTTTTCAAACTCAGCTAATTCATCCACTGCTGAGTAATTTATTGTCAGAGACAGTGGTGATGGACATGGAACAAAGGTTAAGACGCTGTGGGCTGGATGCATAAAAGATGCATTTTTAGTTTGAGGAAACAGTATATGTAGAAAAATCATTTTCATGCCAAAAAGGGCCCTGGACTAAATTAAACCTCTTGAGTTAACCACTAATTAAAACATTACAATAGCAGCACAGGCTACAGTCAGTGGGTGCAGCTTGAAGTCACATCCTTATGAGTCTTCATGTTGGAAAATGACTGCAGGTCATTAAAAATAAGAGCATGGCTTAGTGGCCATGCTCAAAGAGAAATAATTGCTGTTTATTTCAGAAGGTCTTCTCTCTCCCCCTTTATTTAAAGCATCTAGGAGATTTGATAGACAATCAAAATCCAATAAGAGATGAGAAGTAAGAAGATAATCAATCTCCCACCCAGTCCCACTCCCTTGGGACCCAGCAGGGGTGAGGACAAACTGGAGCTCAAAACACTGCAAAATATGCAGTGGCACAACACAGGCTGTTGTTAGGCACATGCCTTCTGCTGCAAGAAAATCAGTGCTGAGCGGAACTTCTGGATCCTGTAAGTGATGCATGCACAGTATCTTCAGCCTGCAAACCATTTCCACTTTCTTTACATCAAACATCCTGTGCACCCAGCCCGGTAGGAGAACTGAGGCTCAGAGGGGTGATGTAACTAAAGGAGTGCAGCTGGGATTGAGTCCCAGTCCCCTCAGAGGAAATCCTGTGCTCTCCTCACCAGAATAGGGTGTCACTGTCCTCCCCTTTGTTCCCGAACAAACCCAGGTTCATGTATGAGACACAGTGGCCTGAGAATTGATTTAGAAGACGACACCCCAGGAAGAGCACATGGCCTGGTAAAGACCTACTGGGATGTGGCCTCAACTTTTGTACTTGGTAGAGAAAGGTGATTCCAAATAGACCCAGATGCTTGGAAGGCATCAAAAGAAGAGGAGAGTTTGAGGGAACAGGATATGTAAAAAATCATTGCTGTGCCAGGAGAGCATTCCAGTCAATCCAAGACTAAGGTTTCTGTGCTTTTCCAGACCCTGATGTGGGTGTGGGCTGTGGGGAGTGAAGGAGACTCACTGGCCTGTTTCTAGTGATTTAAATGGAAGGTAATTATAGTATGCTGGATGCCACATTAGTGACAACTTCTGATAAGGGTGATGGTGCAAACCTGCATAGCTATGATGGAGATGACACTAAGGACCCAAACAGGCATTCTGCAGAGAAAGCTGCATCCCACAGTCTTCTGGGCATCCACAAACAACTAAAATTACTTTCTTTCTGGCTTCCCAGAATCACAACATTCACTGGCTTAATTGCCAGGGGCCAGCTAGGCAAGAAAACCAAAGTTCATGGTTTCCAGGATGTCTACGGCTTTTCCTCCTCCTCTCTTCCCCCTTTCTTTTATATAAATCATCTCACTTTCTGAGATGAAGTCAATCTATATTGGTTCCCTTCTTTACAAGTAAATAGTGTGCAAATAATTAGCTCAATGTTTCTGAGTTATTCTTTGAGTCTATGCTCCATCACTTGCTAGCTGAGAAATGACCTTAGCATGTCATTTAACCTTTTGGACCTCATTTTTCTTCTCTGTAATACTTGCAAGGATTAAATGCAATAATCGAGTCTATGCTCCATCACTTGCTAGCTGAGAAATGACCTTAGCATGTTATTTAACCTTTTGGACCTCATTTTTCTTCTCTGTAATACTTGCAAGGATTAAATGCAATAATCCATGTAAAGAGTTATACACATGCCTGACTAGAGGAGAATCCATTTCTTTGTTTTTTTCCAGCTTCTAGAGGCCTCCTGCATTCCTTGGCATGTGGTCCCACCCTCCCTGTTCAAAGCATCTTCTGATCTCTCTCATTTCTGCCTCCTTCTTCAGACTGCATCTTCTGATCTCTCTCATTTCTGCCTCCTTCTTAAGACTGTTGTGATGACATTGGGACCACCCAGACAATCCAGGATCATCTCCCCATCTCAACAGCCTTACTTAGCCACATATGCAAATTCCCTTTTGTCATACAAGGAAACAAGTTGCTATCTATTCACAGATTCTGGGGATGGGAATGTAGACATCTGGGGAGAGGAGGGTCATTAGTCTGTCTACCACAATCATTAATGTTTTTATCAAGATTTGCTCATTTAACTCACTTAATGCTCACTAAACCCCATGAGGTAGATATAATTTTCTTCTCACTTGGAAACTGAGGCACAGAGAAGGAACTTGCCCAAGGTCACATAGCCAGTAAGCACGTAAAAGGACAGCTTGGGGAGTCCATGTTCTCACCAGCTGGAGTATGTAAGTGGCATATAACAGGCACTATATCAATGTTAGTTATTGTGAGAAATGCCCTCACCTGTCCTATGCCAAAGGATGGACACGGAGAGGCGCAGCGAAGCAAGACTTTAATTGTAGCCTCATAAGATTCAGGCGTCTGAACGACAGGGACAGGGAAAAGGGCTGTAGCAAGCAATTTATTCCCTAGTGTGCAAGTGCCTCCCCCCACTTCCTCATTGGCTGAGTACTACCAGGTGCACAATCCTCCGGATGGCTAAAATTTATTACCCCCTTGCAATGCAAAGGATTCCTTCGTCGGGGAAGGGGGGTGGTTAGGACAAGCCTGCAAAAAAAGGCCTGCTTAAGCCCTGTGAAGGGAGAAACACCAGGGAATGAAGAAAACAATGGGGGCTGCTAGTAACTAATTACCATCTCAAGGAGAGCCATAACTGTTCCAAGAAAACTATAGGGGCTAGTAACTAATTACCATCTCAATAAAACACCCTCAGATAAGTCATTTCTAAAAATGAATCACCTACATTATTTTCTTAGTTATTATTACGGTTATTTATACTAAAATTAATATAATAGTCCACACCTCGTATGCTCTTGTGAGAATTAACCAATTAACGTCTGAAAAGTCCCAGACACTAGGTCCTCAAATGGTATTTACATTTTTCCAGTCCTACTAATAAGCCCTTTCTTTTCACTACGGAGAAGACGGCGTTCACTCGCCCTCCCCAAGATGGCGTCACCTCGTCCCCCATCCAATCCGCTCACTCAAGATGGCGCCTATTGCAGTAAAGCCGTATCAGCCCTTCTCAAGATGGCGCCTACGCTAGTCCTTGATACCTTCCGCCCTCTTCAAGATGACCTTAGCAGTTAGCTGCAACCCTCGGCGCCCCGTTTGACCTTTCCAAAATGGTAGCTGACGCAACACGCACCCTGTTCTGACCTCCTCAAGATGGCGCCAAGATCGCAGACTCACGCATGCTCAGCGTCGCTGCCAAAGACGCTTCCGGTCGCGCCGGAGGCAGGTGCGGGAGGACTGCGCGGACTCGGGAAGCGTCTATGTCGGGCCGGGACGGTCCGGCGCGACCATGGACCGGAGAAAGAAGCCTTTGGACGTCACGGCCTCCTCGGTGAGTGAGGGTGTGAGATGACACTACGGGTTCCTGGTTCTCCCCGCCTCCATATGACGAGCATCTCGATCTAGTCTGTTTCTTCATCCGGGGACCCGGGTCTGACCACTTCCCTTCAGCACGAATCCTGACCTGGCTTTTGTCCTCCCGCTGGGGACCCAGGCCCGTTTTCTCACTTGCAGGACCCTGTCCCGGCGTCCTCTCTGGGTTTGCGCCTCCCTGGGCCGGTCTCCCCACCGCAGGGACCCGGGCGCCGCCAGCCTGGTCTTCCTGCAGGCGGGGAGGAACCCCGGCCTGCGCTTGCTGTGTAGACATTCCCCTCCCTGGTTTCTTCTCCAGTTAGGGGTCAGCACGGCCCTCCCAGAACATTAGAGTGTGACTTATCGACAGTGCCCAGCGTCCCCCCTTCAGAACCTCAACAGTTTTTAATGCGCCCATGGGGTGCGCTGCCCGGGAGCTGTGAGGTCTGACGACTTGTAAGCAGTTTTGTTAAAGTAGCTGCTCAGGAAGAAAACTTGCTCTGGGCACGTTGATTGTGCCCACATGGTATGCACTTCTCTGAATCCTCCCAGCTGCTTTAGCAAGTGAGGTAGGCGCTGTTCATATCCCCTTTTTGTAGGTGATGAAATCGAGGCTCAGAAAGGTGAAGTCGCTTTCCCCAGCTTACCTACAGAATTCTAGGTGAAGACCGGCCAGCCACCAGAAAAGAAACAAAAGAATTCTTAGTAGTAGAAACCAGCTCATTCAGTCTGGTTGCCTTTTCCATTACATCAGGGCATATTGCCTAACCTTTTATTTAATCTTGAGTTTACTGCGGATTATTAGGATGCAAAGGGAGTACAAGGGAAACATCTACGTGTTCCAATATTTGAATACCTTTTCTTCATCTAATATTGAACGTTGGTACTGGTTACTAGGTTTGAGGATTGGGAACCAAAAAGCTATAAATACTAAAGTCAACCTATCCTGACAAGTTAAGATTAGCAATAATTATAATAGGAATGCTACCTGGGAATTGATAATCTTCTGAACATCTTGCTTTATTTTTTTTTTTAAAAAAAGATGACCGGTAAGGGGATCTTAACCCTTGACTTGGTGTTGTCAGCACCACGCTCACCCAGTGCGCAAACCGGCCATCCCTATATGGGATCCGAACCCGTGGCCTTGGTGTTATCAGCACCGCACTCTCCCGAGTGAGCCACAGGCCGGCCCAACATCTTGCTTTTAAAACTCAAAATAGTTGTAGAATAGGAAAATGTAGGGCTGGAAAGTTGATGCGGTTAAGAAAGCTTAGAAGAAAGGGTGAACGTTTTTCATTTGTTTTTAAGAATTTAGAATATTAGATCCTAGAATGAAACTGCCCTTTGCATTATTAAAATCTAAGGTTACTTTTAAATTGATTTCTTCCAAAATAGAAATCATTGAACTTAGTCATTTTTATTTGCCATAGAAATCGGTTCATGATAAATATTATTTACAAATGTTCATGTGTGTAAACGGCTGTACATGATCCTTTAAAGAGGAAACTGTCATTATACCCTTTTCTGCAGAAGGACAGTGGTGTGACTGATACAGCTGAGGGAAAGGCACAAATATTCACCCAACTGCTCCGTTCCCTCACCCTGGCCGCCTTTTCCATTCCTGAACCGTGTGATTCTGCTAAACGCGCAGTTTCTAAAACAGACTAAATCAGACTTGGAGTGTTCTTGTCATTCACTCAGTCTACTTTATTTCTGGCTGTTAAAATCTTGCCCATCTTTTAAGGCTCAGCTCAAAGCTTTCTCCCTCCAATCACTCTGGACAGAAAGAAATGCTCCTTCATCTGAACTCTTATGCTACTTTTCTTCCACTGTAAAGTCATTTATTACATTTGTTACATTTTTCTGGTACTGTAAGTTACCTGGCTGTTTGAGGCAGGAAGTATGTCTAATTCATGTTTGTATCCTGCTGTTCAATGTTGTGTCATGCACATACTGGATGCTCAGATAGTTGCTGAACAAAGATAGAAATAATAAATTGTTGTGATGATTAAATGAGATTACAATATGAAAGGGTGCCAGTCATAGGGAAGGTGCTTAATTATGTTAGTTGAATCTGAATCTAAAACATGCAGTCTTCATTTATTTACTTTTCTGTATCACTCTCCCCTTGCCCAGAGGAAAGCCTTGAGTGTTGAAAGTTAGAGTAGAAATGCATTTCAATAGAGATGGAATAAAATATAACCTAATTTAATTTTGTACTGGATTCTACATTTAAAGATTTAATCTTGTGTCCATTTAGAGGAACTTGAAATCTTGGTTTGAGAATCACAATGACATAGAAATCCAATCACCTGCTAGAATTAATTAAAATGTTTTTGTTTACTTACTGTTTTTTTTTCCTAGTTGGTAGATCTTAAGGCCGAACTCTTCCGAAAACAAGAAGAATTCAAACAAGAAAAACTTCTAAAAGATTCTGGAGTTTTGGGAAAACCAAAAACAGCTAATAAGGTAAAAATAAGATCTAATTATCTCCATCAATTCCAAACATGGGAGAATTATGCCATACTTAAGTTGTTTGAAAGTTTAGTGGTGTCTGCTGTATATAAATGTTAAGGAAAAATTCCTGTCCTATATTTGAACATCTGCATGAAATATTTCAAATATTAAGATAGAAATTAGTAAGGTTATTACAAAGCACATTATAATGCTCTAATTCTTTAGCACTTCTTTTGGAAAAGTGTGTGGTATTAATGATTGTTTGCATTCTCATGGAAGATTATGTGGTTATATAAGTGTTACAAATCCAGAGATAAACAACTAGATAATATAGAAACATAGCACAAAATATTAGGATCTTTAGGAGTTGCAAATGATTTTTCAATTTTGTAGGTAATGATATCTGCTATATGTATTATTAATTCTTTAATAGGTACATTTTTATTAAAATCTTGAATTAAGTTGTAATGATTCAGGAAATAAAAGGTAGTAAAAGAAGTAACTCTATGCAGTTGCATAAAGAAATTTGTTATACAGTTTGGCGCTTTTTTCCCCCCAGCTCCAACTTTGCTGTGTACAGCCAGTCTATTAGTAGGACGTAGATTAGCTGTCAGAAGATCTAGTTATCTCCAGTGATTTATGATTTATAAGATCTGACGATCTCCTTTTTTTTTCTGAAACACCAGTAGAGATTTCTTTTCTGCAATCATGGGGGGGTTCTGTTTTGTCTTTTTAAATTATTCTCCAGAAACCAAGTATCTGGAGCAAACAGAATGCAGGAGTTTCAAATCGAGCTGAGAAGGATGCTGAACAGAAGATTGAGGAACAGAAGACTTTAGACAAAGCAAGGTAAAATGAAGTTGTGATAAATGTAGTTACCTTTGAGCCTACTTAAGCAAAGAAATGAAAAGTTCAAATTTTACTTTTTGTTTGTTTTTGGCAGCTGGCCAGTACAGGGAAAATTTTACTTTTCCATTTACAATTTTGATTTTTAGCATACTTCTAGCCCA